ATGAGAGTTCAAGTAATAGATTAGAAAATGTACCCAAGGTTAACCTTCCAGCAGAGGACAACATGCAGTAAGATCTACAATGAAAGGATTTGGAGGGAATCATACAGTATTCATGTGTTAGAAAGGCTCAGTCTTCTGTGAGACATTTTCTTTTGTTCATATCCTAAACACCATTTCTTCTTTTCTATTGACTATAGAGCTATAAAACGAGAACAGCTTGCTGAAATAGCAATAAAATCGTATTTGCTCTTTTTAAATATTTCTGTAGGTTCATGTATCAAGTTAAACACAGGCTCCCACACAAAAAACTTTATTAAACTCTATTGGACTTAGTAGCAATCTGCCCCGTCAACATCAACCTTGTTTTCTACCATTTTGTAGGGGAGACAAGTGACAAGACGAAACTAATTAATCTCACAATCATCCTGTGATTATTACACTCTCACTTCTACAGGCGTCACACGCCTCTTCTCCCCAGGAATGCAATACATCAGAGAGACGGAGCGGGTCCGCCGGTCGGCTCACACCGCCACCATCAGCCGACTTTCACACAAGAAAAGATATTAAAACACAGACAGGACAGCTACCGGCAGCACCGAATCAGACAAGGTGTTAATTGATTAAGGTGGAATCGCATTGCTGGGGCGCAGCCAGTTTACCACCCTGATTAGACAGATGAGAAGCTCATTTATAAGCTCAACAGTCACAAGATAATTAGTAAAACCCACACTAATGTATGCAGTGAAGGCTGTGAGTGTTCTCAGTGCTGTGTTGGACAGGAGTGGGATGTGTGTAGGTGGGTTAAGAGGGACGGTTTTGCTCATTTGATGTCATGTAAGTAAATGAGAAAATAATGATGCATCTTGCTCTAAGACAATGCCAATAAATACAGAAAATGTGATAAGGACAGGAACTTCATCTTAAAAAAAAGATAGTCAAAAGCAATATACACATTGCCAACTTATTGATGGTATATTACAGACTACATAACAAATTAAACACTACCTGATCACTCTAACTCTTCCATGATAAATATTTGTTTACATTCAAGGCCAGCTCTATATAAATAGAAGAGCAAGGGATATTTGTGCTGCCTCTTCTACTCAATCTGTTCTTGCAATTTCTGTGTAATTAGCATTAGATTTACTGTGGCAACAACAGCAGGGCCAAGAGCTGACTTCCAGACAGGACTTGCAAATGAAGGCAACTCAAAGGAGGACTTAAAAGGAACAATGACAATTCCAAACATTAAATATACAAAAGAAGCTAAACAGAAACTGAAAGAAGCATTCTGACAAAATCATAACTCAGCAACAAAACACGGCTGTGTGGAAATGGTGATGTGGAACAAATCTGCACTGAAGTATAGTTGAAAGTAGAACCCAGACGTAAAGTATAAGTGGGATTTCATAAAATGTTTCTTTTTGTTTCTTTGCTTTTTTTTAAAAGTAAGAAAGAGCCACAGTGATGAAGAAACAATGGCTACAGGCTACGGTTGACGGATCTTAATCAAAAGTGCTGAAAACGTGGTTTTAGTTGTTTCTTGAAAAACATCACACTTCCTCCGTTCTGCTTATGCACACTGTGTCCTATCTTGTCACGTATGTGGGGACATCTAGAAAATTACTGTACTTGTATCCAAACATAAAAAATTCAAACAGTTAGCGAAACATTAAGTCAATGAAGCTTGTTTATTGTCTACAATGCTCCCTGTTGTGTATAGTGTCTAGTTTGGAATGAAGAGTGTGTAATTAAAATTATTCCACTGCATCAGGGCAGAGTATGTTATTTCCTCTGTGACATTGTCTTTTTTTATATTAGTTCGAGACTGCTTGGCTACTGTGAATACAAGCTAAATTCAGTATGTACAGACTATGAGAGCTGCCAAGTGCCCTCTCTTAAGTGCCCTGGATTTTTTTTTTTTTTATGATGAGATGAGAAAAAAAGGCCTTCAACCTTTAGGATTACTTGTATGTGTGCGTGAGTGTGAATGTGTTCATTTGTGTGGGTGTGTGTGCGCCTTCTTGTTCTTGTAGCTAAGTGAGAATACAGTTTTCGTATTTAACCAGTAAAGGGAGTGTGCACTTGGAGTGGGTTTGTCAGGTAATCTGTAACCTGGAATTGCACATGCTACAGTGGTGTGAAGCAGATGGGATCCAAGAGTAGCAAGTGTAGACCCTGCTCACCAATGATTTAAAGCTGCCCAGTCCAGGATGAGAAAGACATCATCTCCCCCTGAAAAAAAGAATTATTGCTGGCATGGATTTGACTTTGGTTTTAATTGACATTTTATGGGTATATCACTTTTTCTATGTTAAATACACATTCCTGCTGATTTACAAGAATAAGGATAAGCCTAACTGCATCTAAATAGCTGGATTTTATTACCTACTGTAACTTTAGTTGGATTGTAACGCGTTTTACTTTAAAGACCTGATTCCCTGAGCAAATTAAATATTGCCAGAATTCATATTCATATAACTTTGTTTGTTTAACTCTCAACCGTTGACATCCTCTATGCTTTTTTCTTATTTATTTTAAAGTCAAAAAGCCAGACCCGAACAAGTAGAAGAAAAGGCATTTCTGTATCCTATCAGCCCAGGTGGATCCCCTGCCTAAATTTATTTCTAACATAGACATGAAAAGAGTCTTAAAGTTCAGGTATAACTCTCCTGTTTTTTTTTATTTTTTTTATTGCAATATGATAGATTATTAAAAGATATATTTAATGAGAGTAATTAATTAGGTTATGGTTTATGATGCAGAAAAAGAATGATTAGATACCGCATATTTACGGTATCTAACATATATATATATATATGTATGTTAAAACATAGTAAAATATATAATTGTTTAAAACAAACAACAAACAATCCACCTATGAAACCATCTGGTCTTTCAAAAAATAAAAACCAATAAGCAGTAATAAAACCATATACCAGTGCATGTCAGCATGAGCGTCTCAGTTGCTCAGCAGGCTCCAGCTGTTACCTCAAAGAGCATCTAACAATCTCTTACCTAAATAGGCTCCTTTAAAAGTTACAGGCAGACCACAGCAGGACACACAAGGAACTATCATTTTTAATAGCAGGTTTAAATTACCTTTCCAATAAAGAATGAATAAAAAAAAACTGGTAAAAAGTTAAACTCCAAAGTTAAAGAGTATGAAATCCCAAAATCACACTTTATCCACTAAAGCCTATCCTGTATCGAAGCTATGGGTCTCCCGAAACACATTCTCCTCCCTAAAGTAAGTTGTGTATTGGACTTCTTCTAATCATATAACTCAATGTTGTACTAAAAAATATACTTTTAAGAATGGTACTATAAGCTGTAAACTAAACATCTCTTTTACTGTTACTAAAGTCTTTCTTAAATGATGATAACTGGCAGACTTGGTATGAAAGTTGATTTATTTCTTTGAAAAAATAATCAAATCATAATTACAATTTAGATACAAATGCAAAACGTGCAGAAATATTCTTCTGGCATGTACTGAGGGTTAAGCATTAAAAAAAGTATTTTAAAATTACTACTAGAGAATAATAATTTATTGGATGAAACTCTAAACACTCTTTCCTATCTCAAATGTACATCAAACTAATACACCCTAATAATGAGTACTTTAAACTGATACAAACTGTGGGTGTAAAGGCATGATTTCCCCCTCCCCCAGTTTTAAAAATAGAAGACCAGTTCTTGCTATGCTATTCAGTCACCGATGGCTGTGAGCATAAAAATCACACCTCAAAGTGTGACAATACCCATTAGCTTTCAACCAGGTTCTTGAGGCAGACTTCCAAAGCTTCTTGTCATGTTATATTTCATGTTTTAGAGCCCATTCTTTTATATAAATACCATCTAATTACACTTAAAAATACACTTTTGGTTGGGTATAATTCTTTATTTCCCCCTTTTAATTAATAAATAACATATCAGCTTCCCAGCTTTAAAGGAATCAACACTATTAAAAATAATTTCCTCTTTGTTTAAAAGTTTTCAGTACATTTTGGAAATGAAAAATAAATAAAAAACTTCTATTTATCTGCCTAGAGCACATTTAATGTATGATTCTAAATTAGGATAAAAGCCAAATGATGGAAGAAAAAAAGATTAATTAACAAACGTTCTTAAGTATTTGTTATGAATGGTATTTGCATCTGGATGTCAGTACCAGAATGCTGAATCCCTTGGAAACGCAACTCTTTTCTCTATTCTATAAATGTTCCTCCATTAAAATTTCTCGCAAGCTGTTTGAGATGCTTCATGAGAGATAAGCATAGAAGATCACATCAACAACCTTTTCCCAGACCACCTGAAAACCTCAGTTGAAGTGCATCAAAGCACTTGAAAAGAAATTAAATTGTTGCGAGGATGGTGTCTGACAGCTCATCTATAGAAAGTTGGGTGAGGGGATTTAAGGGAAGCAAAACACCAACAGAAGGCAATAATATTCTGCAAATGAGAAGAACGCAAGTGCTGGATTCCCCACCAGATGGAGAAGAAAACAAACCTGGCTGCTGCATTTCTTGGTTGCTAAGCACCACCTGGAGGTAATGAATGTGCTGCTTGTCTAAGAGGCATCAGAGACGACGTGATAGAGTCAAACAGTGTATTAAGAAACAGTAGAGGATGCTGCTTTGTCCTTGATGTGGGTCACAGCGGCCAGTATATGTGTCCATGAATATTTATGCAAGCATACAGACTTATTCAATGATGAACAAAACAGGCTATAAATGAAAAAAGGTTCTGGGTTGTATGCTTTTGAAAAAAAGGCCAGGTATGTTGGCAAAAGATCAAAACTCCCCTAAGTTATGGATCTGCTGGAGGTAAAGCCAATTTGATCTTCCTGTGCAGTATCAGTCAAAAGATGGAGTTTGTAGATTGTATACCACTCTGTGATATTTTGAATTGGATTCTATTGTCTAGAAAAGGTCATTTTTCTGAGGCTGAATCTAAAGATGCCTAAAGGCAGAGATTTATAAAGAAAGATGACTCACCACACAGCCGGTAGAATCAAGCTTCCGGTCAGATATGCATCGGAAGTTGCGGCTGCAGCCACCATTATCTTTGGTGCAATCTCTGACAGGTCCAAAAGAGTCCAGGAGAACCTCCAGAGAGTCAAATGAAGAACTGATCATCAGCTCCTCTCTGCAGCATAGAGGGAAAACAGAGGGCATGTGTGTTATTTGAAGTACTGTTTGGTGCTATTAAGCCTGTATTGTTTGCACATGAAAAGTAACTTAAGAATATACAGATTTTACTATAATATCCTGGAATCATTCATGTATAGCTGTATTTTAAAAATAAAAATCTGGTCACTTGAGAATTCTTAAGGACAAAACTCTGCATCTTTTAGCTTCTAGGGGCGCTAAAAGCAAACCAAGAATACATCTGATCAGAAAAGTGTAATTTGTTTTGTTGCCTAACAACTTTAACCTTAGTTATCTCTCATGTTGTAGAGGAACATTCTGATCACATGACTGATTCAGCAATGGATCCAACCCTCTTAAGTTACATACTGTTGAGAGGTTTTTGAGTAGGGCAGCCCATACAAATAATTGATACACATCAAGGGCTGTATTTTCAATTTAAAATAAATGTTATATTTCAAATTTAGCTGATATTTTTGGCTCGGTGTGAGCGGCCAACTGGCGAGGCCAACTGGGGTTGGAGGAGATTAAAGCAGATAATGACATAAATGAAATAAGTTATTTGGCGCACAGGCCCTGGCAGAAGACTTCAGTGCTGTGAATCAACATGCGCTCGGATGAGTAACCTAGAAAGGGATTAGATTAGTCTTCCCTCTGGGGCCCAGACACTGGTCGTGGAATAAACCAGAGTGAGAGTGAGTGATAATAGTCTGAGAATGAGGGAGGAGATGGGTTGGAGGTGGGTGAAAGTTTGCTTGCTGGAGAGAGAAGCTTGACCAGGAGCTAAATGAAGGGGAGCCTGAAAGATGATTGGCTTCAGAGAAGGAGTGTTCCTGTGTTGATTGACAGAAGTGGAACACTGGACATCGCAGGTGGTTCAGGTGAAGCTAATAATCTTCCAGATTTAATTTTTGCTTTAGCTACATAAATATACATTTAACTGGTTTCCCTGGGATTTTATCTAACAGACCAATGCAAATCAATCCATGCTTTTTGTATTTATAAAAAATTGACAATGGCATTCTTAAGTATTCAGCCTCCCTAAATACTGTATGTACTTAGAGGTTGATTTTCTAAATTGGTCACACATTAATATTCTGTTACATTTCCAAAAAACAGATGTAAAAAGAAAATATGTTGAAAAGTAAAAAATAAATGCATTTACTTTTTATAAAACCTTTTAATTTCAAGAAGCAGTTTGTTCACATATGTCACCTCACAAACCTCTAAAACTTTCAGGAGAGTTTTTTACTGTTATTCAGTGAATAGATAACACACAGAGCAAAAAGAAAAAAAAAAAACAGATAATAAGGCATCTTCAGGTTGAAAAGTTAATATGTGAGTTAAATAGAAACAGACTACAGTGTATTCACAGATTGATGTGAAAAATAAATAGAAAAAAAGAAAAACTAACTGTACCATAGGCGTTATTGTTCAAGTACTCCCACAGATGCTAAAAACTGTGCAAATGGACTTTAGAATGTGATAAACATTGTAAATGACTCGTGATCTGATCCATTACCTGCTGAATCAGTTGCATGTTTATAAAGTTTGGTTTGTTGCAAACAACATAGTTTATAATTTCTAACAGTAGCTGGAAAAAGGATCTTTTTAGCTCCTAGGATGCAGCATTCTGCCACTATAAGAGCTCTGTAACTAGTGGTGTAGTCCAGGGTGTACGGGGTTATATGGCATAAACCCACTTTTTCAATCAGCATTGCGTTTACCCATGTCTAAATCCCCCTAGATCTACACTATTTAGCAGAATCTCCCAGCCAAATTTCCTACTTATTATTACGACGGTGAAGCCATCATTTGCAATACTCTACTTCTAATTGGCTAGTACTCACTGCCTTTACAAATTACATTGGTTAACTGTAGGCATGACAACCAGTGAGCCAATCAGAGGCAGAGAAGGGCGGTTCTTGCTAAGGTTAGTATTGCTCACATATTAAATAACATTTAAAAGTTTACTTTAAATGGTTTGCCTTTAGGATTATCAATAAATCAGTGATATGAACCAAGCTAGTCAAACAAAACTTTCATTTCCTAGTTACAAACATCCTCGTAAATTAACATTAGCCAACAGTTCGGCTAATGTTAGCGACGCTACCCAGCTATAGTTAAACCTAAAGTTGATGCCCGCTTTGCACCCCATCCTCGTCGGACAAGATGCTGTCATAGAAGCGGAAGGTGTCTCTTTGACTTAGCCAAAGATGTCGGTACAACTTTGGATGAAGACGTAAACTATGCTAGGTGGGCGTGGCCTTTTTCTTTGTTGGACCTCATAAATAATGTTAATAACATGTCAGGGGTCAACAGTACTGAGTTAGGAGAATATATCACTGTTTATGTGTTGCAAAGGCATTTTTATATTAAATATTATGTTACGTATTGTTTCATTGACTAATTTAAATGATGAATTCTAATCATCATACAATATACACATATATATCTAATGAGTTACACTATAATAGTCTTTATTTCAATTTTAAGAATGTATCAACTTTTCAGTTTATCCAATTGGTTTTGATGCATTTGATTTTGATTTTTAAATCTAAGCCGAAATATGAACAAGGATGTCAAATTCACATCTTTCATGTTTTATTTAAATAAATGTTTAAAAAAATAACTGATTCACCATGTTTGCCTCATCTGTATTTTATATCCATGCAGGCTGCCTGTGTGACCAGTAATACGGACATACTGCTCCTGAGTTATTCTAATTTTAATAGCTGCTCAATCAGCTATTAAAATTGCTCAAACAGACAGTTTACAAAAGAAACTACTGACTTGATAAGTGAGATAATAGGTGTCATCCATAGGGTTCAGTTATTTCATAATCCTTCCTCCCTGAGATCAAAAACAGAAAAAAAACCAGAAACCATTTTGAAATGTCACAAAATACAGAGTAGATGATTTTTTTTCGAAAGTCTAAATTAATTTGACCCGCTTAATTGGTAATAATTCATATTTATTTGACTATTTCTACCAGAAGGTGTTTAAGTTAGCAAAGGATCCAAATACATTGAAAGATGAATATACTGCACTGAAAATAGAAATAGAAAATAGAACCAACTTCAGTTTTACTTTGCAAAGGTAAATCACATTGATATTTTAACACAGAAGTATCTTTATATTTATGCACTAACCATCATTTGCTAGTAAAGCATTGCCACACAATTCCCTCGCTTTCAAACTCAAAGGATGTTATCTCAGAAAACCAATTTAATTGCCTGTGGCATTGTTTTCATTTAATCTGAGGGCATCATTTGAAAGGAACATTGACACATGATGAAACCAACAGCAAGAGCAAATTACTAAGGAATCCTTATGGAAGACAAGAGCCCTCCACATTGATTCTAAAATGTATTATGAAATCCAACAGAAATTTCAGAAGAGATAACGATTTTAAATGGTAATGATGTATGGGAGTATTTATAATAAACTCCCACAAAATTGGCGCTTGAAGTGGAGTTCATTGTTCATTGTACGACTGCTAATGTCTGAACAGTGGTAGTGAAACATTTGAAGTTTGGCTGAAATTGGTAGTCAGACATTTCTTTGAAATTAGTTAAATTGCTTTAAATATAGGTTGTTAAATATAGAACAGCATATACTCCCTTGTCTGGGTATTTAACTCTTTGATGTTAATTATTGGGTACCAGAATATAGCCTATCTTTCAAAAACCACTTCAAGTACATATGCCTCTGGTGAAATCACAAAGGTTTGCTTTTTAGATATATTTTTTTCTTTGTTATTTAGGCTTTTCTTCAGTTTTTCCACATAAAAATAAATCTAAGATAATATTAGACTGATCATTTGTTCAAAAGTGAGAAAATGTATAACCGTAAACAAACAGGAAATGAAATGCAGTAGTGCTAAATATACTGTATTCACTACTCAATGGGTTTCTTAAATTTGTGTGTTTTTTGCCAGAGTTTAATGTTTATAAAATACAATGTATTATTTTAAAATCACAATTTTGTTTGATAATAAAAAAACTAAAAATAAACTACCCCAACCAACCTCACCGTACGTAAAAAAAAAGTAATACACCTGCAATTTTTAATAACCTGCCACTTGAGTGGGAGGGGAAGTGTGTACATTGCTGTCTAAGCACAATATTTCTCCAAAAGTGTTTGGGATCATAATAATATTTTCTGGTAGTGTGAGAATGCCTTTTTCTTTTTTTTTTTTGGTCATCCTTAGATGCAGGTTCTACACAGCCTTGCTCTTATTATTAAATCCCAAACAATAGCAAATAAGGTCTGCAGTGCTTTAGACGTTGTTCTGAGTGTTTTTCTGACATCCTGGATGAGTTGACAAAAATGTCCTTGAAGTAAAAATCTTACCAATAAAACCATACAGAAAACGGAGATAAAATAACTTTTATGGATAAGAAATATGCCTTGCAAAAAGTAAAGATTTCTGTACAAGGGTAAATATAATTCATGGTGTTGTATTTTCCCTGCTGTAACCTTGTAGTGCAATAGATTTAACAAGATTAAAGTGAATAATATTTAGGATATTAAATTGAGTATATACTGAAGAATTTCAAAAACACACAGTTTAAGGGACCATTTATTCAATAAGGTAGAGACAAGTTCTGCCTAAACATTTGCTGTTATGTTATTTTTTTGCGCTTAACCTACAGCTCATATTCTCAATCTATTTATTTTTACGTGGTTAATATTGTGATACTAAAGCTGTTCTAAAAGTGCTGCATCTAAAAAATGTCTCAAGGCAATACCAGAATGTCAAAAACAAAGTGTGAAGAACCATAAAAGCTCTTCTCTTTCCTTTTCCTGAATCACTTGAACTTCTGTGACACCAGCTAATCAACTGAAAGATCAACGTTTGTTGCCATTTATCTTTCTGCAAGAAAGTTACAAATGGCAATCAAACGCATGGGAATGCAGCACAGAAGCAAAGTAAATCAGCGTGTTTCAAGGTGTTAGCCGTGTTTTTCTGAGGCCCCTGAGGGACAGCTGAGG